AACCGGCCAGGGCTCAAAAAAATTCTTAAAAAACAAAATAATAATGAATAAAACTTAAAATATTTTGTTTGATGTAATTAAAGTGCAACATAAAAAATAATGACTATATTAGAATTATCTTCTTTGTGAACTTGAGAGCTATTGATTACTTAAATATATTTTTTTAATCTTTACCTTTAGGATCAAAATAATTAACTATTCTCTTCAGCAAGTCATGGACCTGAAAAATTAAATTCATTAAAGTATTTCATGGGCCCAGCCGGTGTGGCTCAGTGATTGACGGTTGACCTATGCACGAAGAGGTTGCCGATTCGATTCCCAGGCAGGGCACATGCCCAGGTTGTGGGCCCAGGCTCCAATGGAGGCATTCAGGAGGTGGCCGATCCATGTTCTCTCTCAATGATGTTTCTCTCTTTCTCTCTCTACTTTCTCTGTCTCTAAAATCAATAAAGAACAGAAATTTAAAAAAGAAAAGGTATCTCCTGATTTCTGATTTCATTAGGGTATCTTATCATTTCATGTTTAAACTCTACCATGGGTTTAAATTTTGTTTTGATATTGATATTTTTTCTAAATTCTCCTAAAAAGAAATGTAATAAAGTGACAAAAAACAATCAAGAGTTACGTAAAAAATTGCTAAGATTACATAATAATTTAGAAAAAGAATGCTCTTTAGTTTATGGCATTGTATTTCATTTTATACAGACCATTGCTTGTGTTTTCTATCATGGTTTACATGGGCTTAGGGCCATCTGTTTATGCTAATATTATCCGGCCACACACCTCAGTCTTTTTATTTTTTTGATTTGGTTCATTGTTTCTATTGTACATAGACATACTGTGGCCGTGTTTTTATGTACATGAGATGGAATTTTTCTCCACATAATGCTTACTTAGGATTCTTCATTTCTTGTTTTCTCCTATTCATTTACTTGACCTGTACTTTATAGTTCGGCTAATTGCTTTCAGATTCAAATGAACCTAAAAATTGCACTAATTTTATCTATTAATATTACCGTGAAAGCAGAATTTTGGAATAGTCTTCTTATTTTTCTGAAAATCTAGTTATGTGTTCTTTGCTTCTGTTACATGACAATTTTCTAAAACAGAGTTAGTGCCATGTCTTACTGGCTGCAAGACTCCTCAGCTCACCTAACCTCATTTCCTCAGTCTTCTCATCATTAACACGGGGCTGATAATGACACTGACATCATGGTTGAAGTGTCAGCATTAAGTAAAATAATTAATGTAAAATATCACATAATGCTTCACACATAGAAAAAATTTTAGTAAATACCAGCAAGTCTGATTGTTTTTGTTGTTCTACTTTGAATGCAGTAAAGATATATTCAGGCTTATTAATACAGTGAACTTAATTATAACACCTTTATAGGTTAATAATCTTTCAAGGTGTATTTTCAAGGTGATTCTAAATATCTTTTCTTCACGAAAGCTAAGTACAGAAGCCAGATCCAAGCAGAGATCTAGGGAAACACCAACCACTTTTATATTTTGAGGCCATAGCACCTAACCCAATGACAAATTCATTCAAATGATGACATCCAAACCAGCACTGATGTTGTAGTCCTTTCTTGTGCAAAGCAGTAAGTATGAATCAAGGGAAAAAACAAATTTCCTTTTCATGTAATGCCTGAGTCCAATCTAAGTATGCTAAGAAAATTTACATGCAAAGGAAATGAACACAAGGTCAAATATAGCAACTCCTTTGAGATCGAGGCCCAAACCAAACCACCATTACTTTCTATGATGCATACTCATTAGATTAAAAAAAAAAAAAAATGACATTCATTGTTGTCACTGGGGCTTCATTTTATAGCTATTTATTCTTTGAAAAATATGCATTAAATATTATTAAACAATCATGAGGAATGGCTACTGTTTAAGGTGGAGAATACAAAGGATTTTGCATTCTGTATACTCAGTCCCTTATTACCTTAATGATTTAGCTATCTTGGGTAGATCACACAATTACTCACCATAATGACCAGTGTTCCAGACTTTCTTTGACATTCCATGTTTAAATTCTCTCTCTCTCTCTGCTCTCTCTCTCTCTCTCTCTCTCTCTCTCTCTGTGTGTGTGTATGTATGTGTGTGTGTGTGTGTGTGTGTGTGTGTGTATATATATATATATATATATATATATATATATCTATCTCAGATAATTTGTTCCAGTCTTTTCATTCAGAAACTTTCCTAGTTGTGTTGACTGACATAAATCATAACCTATGGATACTCTGAGGAGAACCAAATCACTTTTTCTTTTTAGAAAAAGATCAGTCTTGAATGTTTGACTCTCCTTGGGCATTGGGTAGGAATTTGATGAGAGATCTGTATCAGTATTGGGGTGGGAGGGCAGTGTTAAAGTGTTTTAGGCATGAAACGTCTGTAGAACTGAGTGACAGGCAACTTAGGGGACAGTGAATTTAAAATTTCAGTTAGTCCCAAATAAAACAGAAAGTTTGTTTAAGCCCTGTGTAGTAGAAGGTCCTAATGCTATGATGAGAAATTTGGTGAGTTTGTAGTCAATACAAAATAATTGGAGATAGATTAACAGAATAATAACATAGAAATGAAAAGAAAAAAAAAATTGGAAGAGAAGCGAGCTTGAAGATCATCTCCCAACCCCTCATTTTACTGATGAGGATACTGAGGGCTACAGAAGGAAAGCAAGTAGCTGAAACCTCATTAAATTGCCTAGGTCTCATATTAGCATTATCATGCATCCCTACACTTTAGATAACTCATTTGATATTCTGTTTAGATATTTTTAAATAACTCATCTATAGTTTAGGGGGAGGGACTTACTTTTTGAATGGTCCCCAAATAGAAACATACATTTTAACTTTGCATCTCACTGTGAGGCTTTTTGCCAAAGTGAAAGATTGATTCACTGTTATTCTTTTAAATTTGCTTCATGCATTTGGAGTACATTATACTAGACAGAAGCAGCTTTTAGATTTCTGATGCCAAAACATTTCGGTAAAAAAAAAAAAAAGAGCTTCCACCTATTTAGAAAATTGCATTTCTGCTGCTGTATTCTTTCATCTTTTTTGCAAATATTTAAACAAAAGAACAAATGTCATCAGTTAAAGATTATGAGAAATTTCTTGTGCAGGCAAACAGAACTCTAGATGTCAAAGCTGGCGAGAAGAATTTCCTTTATTAAGTGTGAATGAAAGCCCAATCTTTACAATAGTTACTACACACCAATTAAACAACATGCCTTTAATCTAAAATCGCACCTTTTTGTAGATGCTTTCTTTTCAGTCTTTGTTTTTTTATGCCAATGTACTAAAATTGCCCTTCAGAGGTATCTCTTTGAGAGACTGAATGGGGAATTGAAGAAAAATATTGAAGCAAGAGAAGACATACAGAGGTGAAGCACAGAAAGTTAATTGTTTTAAAATTCCTCCCGTAATTATTTGAGTCCCTCAATGCTGTAGAACACAAGAAGTTAAAAAATTATTCAAAAAAACAAAACAAAAAAACAACCCTGAAATTATTTGACCCGTGCCAATTTCACTAGAATTAATGGCATGGATCTGCATATCATATAATGTCTAAGATACTAAGACATTCTATCAATGAAATTGATGAATTAAGTAATCACATCTTAAAGTACCTGGCACACTACAAATCTCAATAAGCCAAATTCTTGGACTCCCTGAAACCTCAATCATAGCGACAGTCTCTATATTTAGAAATTCTACAATTTACTTCTGAAAAAAATGTTGACTAATTTCCCATTGCAGTCCTCAAAGAATTGGAAGAAAAGACAGCAGCAGCGAGCGAGATAGCCGTTAAAGAAACTAGTGATCCCCCAGCGGGGCCTGCGAATGCGCGGCGACGTTACAAGGTTGTTGATGCCACAAGCCTGTGATGGGCAGCAGGCGATCTGCCAAAACAAGGAACCCGCTTCTCCAGGGGCGGCGGACTGAGCGAGGGCCGGCTTCCCTTCCGCCTCCCGGGAGCCCGGGTCCTCGCTGGCGACGTCAGGAGGATGCTTCGCCTTAATTATCCGGCGAGGGAGACGCGCCTTTCCCGGAGACCGCTAGGCAACACTCACCACGGCAGCATCCAGATTACTTCCCTCCGTGGGTGTGTGACTCCGTCCTAGCAACTCACACTTACAGTAGATCCTCCCTGGCGAGGCCGCCAGCAGCCGAGGGCGGGGGAGCGGAGAGGAGGGGGAGGGAGGTGGGAGGCGCAGAGTGGAGAGCGGCGGAGAGGACGGAGCTCCAGACACAGCGGGAGCGCGCCGCGCCGGTGCAGTTTCCACCTCGCCTCGGCTCCGCGCACACGCCGCCTCCTCCCGGAGCAGCGGGGACCGCAGCAGCTCCGCGCCGCCGCCGCCAGGCTCCGCGCTCTGCCCGCTCCCGCCGTCAGTACCTCCCTCGTCGGCGCTCAGCCCGCAGCTCTTTCCTCCTGCCGGCCTCTTTGAACTCTCTGGATCTTTTCCTTTGCCGTCTCTATCGTAGTTTCCCCACCCTGTGTTTTCTCAACTCCTCTTCCTTTATCCTTGGCCACTTGCTTCCCCCCCTCCTCTTTTTATTGAGGATTTCTTCTTGACTTAAAATGACTTGTCTTCCTAACCTAAGTCCACTTCAGCCCTGAAGACTGAGAAGGGGCTTTGATCTTTCCCCCAGGGGCATTAAAAAGACCTCAACCCTTAAAATTATTACGAGGCAAAAGAGCAGGACGCGGGACCTTCTCGACACCCTTGAGTCCAGTCCAGAACTGCACTGTAGACCGTAACTAGTATATCATTTAACCCCCCTGGAGAGGAGGGAGAGAGGGGTCGGAAGCAAACTTCAGCCAGCTCCGAGGATCCGCGGTCCCCCATTTCCAGGAGCCGCGTTCCAGAAGGTGAAGACCCCACGGGGAACGAGGAGGAGCCGCGAGCCTTTCATCCCCGTGGCGAGGCCGGAGCCGTGGACTGAGCAGCTCAGGACAGCAGCGGCGGAGGCTGCTAGGAGAAGATGCGGGGCTCGGGGCCCCGGGGTGCGGGACGCCGGCGGCCCCAGGGCCGCCGCGACTCCCCCAACACCCCTGCGTCTCTGGCCGGCTGCTGCTCCGCACCTCGCAGGGCCCCCCTCTGGACGTGCCTTCTCCTGTGCGCTGCGCTCCGGACCCTCCTGGCCAGCCCCAGCAACGAAGGTAAGAGAGGTGGGGGTGACCGCGGCGACCAGGGGCGGAGGAGTGAGGCGGGGCCTGGAAGTGCGGATCGGGGGGCGCTGGACGCTGCTGCTGACTAAATCGCCCTTCTGGTCTTGAATTAACACGTGTCGTCAGATTTTGATAGCCTTTTCGCTCGCTCTCTGCTGTCTCTGGTCGTATTGTTTGACAGGCGCTGCGGGAGTGCTGGGCGAGCAACCTTTCTGTGCGCTGAGGCAGGTTGGGGGGCTGGGAAGTTGGAAGCCGGGGGCAAAGAGGCGGCTGAGACCCTTGCCAAGAGGTTGGGTGCGGCTGGGGCTCACGTGAAGCGCGTGGGGAAGTGCCATTTCGGGCTTGGAGGAGTGGGAACTGTTTGAAGCACGGCGACAAGGATCTCGGGCGCAGTGGGGCTTTTAGAAACCGTTATTTGAGGCTGATGATGGGAAACGTTGTGGGGGTGGCTGGATGCTTTTATTTGGAGGGAAAGTGCCTTCTGGGAGCTGTTATTTAGGGCAGCACCAGCTGCTATTCTGGGGTGGGTGGCAAGAGCTCTTATTTCCCGAGGGAGGGGGTGGCGAAGGATGGAAGGCGCCCTACACTGTAGGGTGCTTTTCACTTTGAGGGCTCAGAATCCCCCTGAGGTGAAAGTGGACGAAGGCTCAGAGGTAGGATGCAGCGAGAGGCGGAGGCGGGTGGGGGAGTGTTGCGGCCAGGAAGTTGCTGCTGGACCCCACCGGGGCTTGCCTCTGTGTTTCCGTAAGAAAAAGGTCCCGCAACGGCCGGCCGGGGCGCATCCTGGAGTCCCCAGCGCTCCTCCCTACGGCCTGGCACAGGGAGAGAAGGGCCAGGCGCGGGGGCAGCACCTGTGCGGCGCTCCAGGCTCCCAGAGCCTCCGGGCCGCTAGGGCTGCGTTCGCTCCTCTCACCCGGACTGTGCTCTGCCTGGGTCTCAGCACCCGGCTGCATTCCTCTGGGGTGAGGGGCAGCGTGTCAGATCCCCACCGGGGCTGAATGAGTTGTCAGCTCCACCACGAAAATACCAAAACCCTACTCCCTCCCTGGAAGACTGTGATTTCGATTTGGGGCTCTGGATGCCAGGAGCGAGGCACAGAACCTTAAAATTTTCTTTTCAAGGGACGCTCGACCTGAAAGATGAAGCAGCGGAGTCGTGTGTGTCCTCATGACTCGCGTGGGTTTTGTCTTGGTTGTAGGAGAAGGCGCTGAGCTGGTTTCGGAGAGCTGCCAGCTCCCAAGGAACCCTGTGGAAGCCGGGTAGATGGAGACTCTACACCCTCCACCTCATCAACTTCTCTCTTTAATTCCTAACATTTTAAAAATTTGATTTAATGGTTATATGTAGTTTTATCTCTCCATCTGTCTGCAATCTCCCGTGCTTAATCCAAGCAATCTGCATTTTCCCCTTCCCCATAAAGTTGAAAAAGTGTTATCTGAATCATAGTCCTTTTATTAACGTCACCTGCTAAATTCAGAACTCCAGTACTTATAACGGGGTAAGGAGTCCTTTCATTAAATGTGTTATTCCACCGGAAGGGGCATCCTGGTTTGGATTTAAAGAGTAATAGTAATATGCATTCTCTCCTGTTCCAGTTATATATATATATTTTTTTTTTTTCAGGGCGTGATGGGGGGAGGAGGAGGAGTATGTAGAGAAGAAAAGGAATAGTAGCTGTTGGTTAGAGAGGATGAAGAAATGAAGTCTCAGGGAGGGTGCCCCTGACTGGAAATATGGGCCAAGCCTGTGTGGAGAAGAGGCCGAAGGCTGGTCTCCTGAAGTGTTGTAAGTGGAGCTTGAATCCTGTGGAAAATAGACTGCCTGAGTTTATAAACTGAACACCAACGGGTTGTATTGTCCTTTCCCCAGATAGTGGAACACACAGCAAAACTTGGGCTACGGTGAGATGAGGGTTGCAAGGGTCTCACCAAAAATGAATGGTACTTTACCACCCAGTGCTTTGAAAGACACCAAAAATAAAGGCACTCTGCTGTTTGGAGTATATTTTATAATGTGTCACTAATTTATGTAATTAAAAATAAAATTTTATTAATATCTGTGATTTCATCTCATTCATTCCATCTTTGCCCAATGCAGTTTTCCATCTTTCCATTAGTACCATCCCAGACTTTTGTGTTCTTCTCTAAAATTTGTTTTTCTGTTCTTTTTGTTTCTCTGTGATAGTGTTGTAAGTCGAATAACAAGAACATGTTAAGATATTTATAACAGCAGTCAGTTTATTTATTTAAAGATTCAGATAGGAGTTTTAAGCTTGTTTTTGATTATTACTGGAGGGACTCTGGAATATCAGGGGCAGAAAGATTTGATGAGTGCACTGAATCCATTAATAACTTGCTCTCATATGCTTTGCTTTCTACAACCTACAGATGCTTAGTGATTTTGCAGATGGTAGGTAGTATATATAGGGTGAGACAAAAGTATTTTTATGAGAAGTAATTTATTCTTGTATTATTAATTATTGTATTATTTTTCATAGGAACAACTGTAAACCTATCTTTGCCCCACCCTTTATATACCTTATATGTGGATATAATGCCCCCATTGTGTGACAAAAAATTTCAAGGCTGATAGAAATTAATGTGAGTTCACACTCACAATTAGCATTCCAGTCATTTATAAAATTTAACTTTGGTAGACATAAATAAGCAGAATTGAACAGTAAAAGCCAAACATATATCTAGAGTCTTAGAGTGATGTTCAATGAATGTTAAAATATGTTAAACAAAAGACAGTAAGAGGTTACTCTTTAGCCTTCATTCTAAGATAAATACATCTTTTGTTGTATTATTACATATATTAGGCATAAATTACCTCTGGAGGAAACCCTTGAACTACAGTATAATACACAAAACTTTTAATTATAAAATGATTCAGAGATGTATTTAGCAAGAAACTTATCTAAGATTGATCAAACAGAACAAACATTAGCAAGTGTATCAAGTGAAAATTTTAACAGATTTAATAAGTAAAGGGAGCCTGTTCACTGTTATGAATACTGGAGGTGGCCCTGAACTTATTCAATAACTGCCACTTTTTGCTGTCTGGAGATATATTTGTAAACAAGCATTATTTGACAAGTGCTTTTCGCAGCAGGGATTCTTGGCCAATTACTGTTGAACAGCTCTGCATTGAAAATGATTCACCCGCAGTGAATCAAGCTTAATTCATTGAAGCTACAGTCAGTAATGTCCCAGTAAAGTGCTTCTGACAGTTGTCAGCAGTTTGTATTTGAAAAGTTCAGTTTCTTGTCTCTGAATGTTTTGTATATTTGAGAAAGTGGGATGGAGGAGGTCTGGGGAGAGGGGAACATAAGGGGAAAAAATTGGGGCTCAATTGTTTGAAAAACAATCATAAAATTGTAGATGTTTTCAATGGAAAAGACAAATAGGAAGAATGTTTGTTTTAGGGTTTTTCTTGGTTTATAATAGGACCAGGCCCATAAAACAGATTGGAGGACATAATAGATTTGTAAAACTAAATGGCTCTGTTTTGTAGCCTTGTCATCCTGTTGTAATTCATTTTCTTTTAGGTAAAATGGCAGGACCCCACAGAAAAGGAACAGTAAAATCACTCCCTCACCAGGACACCACTAAACATAAAAAGAAAGCCATTACCCCTATTTGAATCATAGATTGTTGGAACTATAAGGGACTATGAAGAGTTTTGTTTTTTCGCTTTGTAAACCATGAAAAGGGTGCAGAAGGTTGGGTCTTTAAATTTAAGATTTTTTTTTTTTTTTTCAGGTAGACAAATATATTCTTGGGTGGCAGGGTGACAGGTGAGAGGATTTCATTTTCTCATATGAGACAGAAAAGAGGATGTACAGTTCCTGCGTTTACTACGGAAATTCCTCCTTTGATTGAGGATAGTCTTGTAATACTGTGCTTGTAAATACTATTACTGTTTTATTTCAGTTGACATAGAATACAATTGGTGTGGGGAAAGGGTACTTTTTTATAGTTGGAAGTGCATTACTCACCATTTATATTACTAATACTCTACAAAATGTGACCATTTGGAGTATTTCTACATAAAATATCAAAATGAGATGATATAGCTATTTATAGATAAATATTCCCAGACTAATTAAATAGTAAACTTTATTCAGTATTGCAACTATTGAGAAAATAACTATACTTGAATTATTTTTAACGACATTTTTGTTGATTGACTTGACCAAATTCAATTTTCCCTGTTTGGGGTGCTTTTTTATGTATTTGCTTGTTGACTAATTAATTTATCTTTCATTTGGAAGAATCCTTTCTACCTTTGACTATAAAAATAGAGTACATTAACTAACTATAGCTCTTTTTCCTGAGTCAAACTTCATGACCTTTTTAAAAAAGAAAAATCTGCTGTTAGTATCTCAAAGACATAACTAGTGTCAAAAGTGTTGATAAATCTCTATACTTCTTTCCTTTTTCAATTCAAATTAAGAGATAGATTCTATTTTACTCGTGAAAAGTTTGAATTTAAGTTAGCAGGGGTCCTCAATTTTTCAAAGAGGATCATGGTACATTTATCAATCTTTAAAAAGTTTTAAAATTGTTTTTATAAATCTTGAAAATTAACTAAACTCAATATCCAGCCTTGCTTATAAATCATTAAAAAATTATTGCAGTATTTGTCCTTTTTTTTTTTTTAAGAAATAGTGAATTTTGACTATAAAAGCTAAAATTGTAAATTGTTACCTTAGAGACTCAGAATGATTCTTGCTGTTCTATTATCTCTGATGACTATGTACCTACAGAGCAGAATAGTTTCTACTGGTATGCTCTACTGGGTAAATACACATTTAGTTCTTTTATGAGAATTTATAGAGTCAGTTGGTTAGGCAGTGATTTTTTCAAAGGAGTTGTCCTAGTCTTTGTATACATAAACATACCTGATGGTATTTTTAATTGACACTAAAATATTTATCATATGTTCTACCCCAGACCAAGTGGTACATTTACACTTCTATGGGTGGA